TGGCAGTCTCCCTGTATAGCTAATGATGCACAAATTTTAACCATACAAATGTTCTTTGCCTAACTGGCACTGGGTTTCTCTTTCTTGCCATCACTTGCTTCATGATATAATCTTTCTTTCTTTTAAATTAATAATCAAAAGGCAGTAAGAAAATTTAGAATGAGCTATTCTAAGTGAGATAAACTTCTGATTTTTTTTAAATTTACACAGGCTTTTCCTCAGAGGTAGTAATATTTCAAATTTTTAATTACCCACTAATAAATATATCCTTGATATCATTACAAGGTGTGTAAACTAATAGAAAAGCTTGTTTTAGGTTGTTTTAAAAACATACTTGATTATAAATCCCCCAGAAACATCTTAAAGTTTGAACTTGTATAACATAAAAATATTAATATTTGTTATTGTCCAAAGATACTGTGAAACTTTAAATAATATTAAGTTTGTTATTAATAACATAAAAATTAATTTACAGTTGGCAAGACAAGTAAGAAAATAGAATAATTCTTTGCTCATTTAATTATTTAAGTAAATATTCCTTTTAAAAAGATAAATGAAATGAGATCATTTCAATACAACTCTTAAATATATAAGCAGACACTCTTATTTACTCTAACTACACATAACTTATAGAAGCCTTACTTCGAAACAAAACTGGAGAACATTTTAAACTGAAACCAAAAATGAATGTGTGTGTGTGTGTGTATATATATATATATATACACACATATACATATATGTGTGTGTGTGATATATATAGATATATATGTATAGATTTGTGATATCTATGTAGATATATAGATCTAAATGTTTTCACTGTATTGGCATGCTGTAAAAAATTTTCTGTAATAGCATGAACTTATTAATTTGGTCTCATTTTAAGTATAGAAAGAGAGTGTGAATTAGTAAAAAAAAATTTGAGTCATAAAACATTGTCTAAATATGTGTAAAGAAATTATTTTTACCCTACAGTTCAAGGTCAAATTGAATGAGCAAAGTTCATTCAGCATTTTGGTTGTTACTCAGTAAAAGTCCTTAGAAAACTTGCCTAAACAGATAAACAAGTCTGATCTGTTGCTAACAGGTGCTTTGTTTACAGGTAAAAATGCACCAGAGATCAGTTTAGTCTAAGTTCCTATTGCAACCTCTGCTCAAATCGATTTGTACTATAAAATGCAGAAAGTGCTTCTTTCTGTAGTGCCCAGTGTAGCTTGGGGAAGAAGTGGGGTGTTCACAACTTCTCCCTTTCCTTTCTATCACCTCACCCCAGTGGTCCTTAATAAACACACAACCTAAGTAAAAACCAATATTCTCACTGTGCCATACAACTGCAAGACAACTTCTTCAGCCTCCTACTCTATCCACATAAACAACGTTTGGAGACAGCATTATCACCTCAACCCTCTATGGAAACAGAACAAATTCAGAATTAGAGGAGCTAGAACTATACCATTTTATTATACAGCATTCTCTTTTTCAATATTTTTCTGTGGCTGTGGTCAGCTTGGAAAGCTCTACAAAATATCCCTAATATTTTCCAATCCTTTCTACACTGATATCTGCTTATAATGGTGGCCATATTGCACATGCATATAGTTTTATTTCCAGGGTGGTTCTCCCACTCAACTTGAATCTAGTGTGAGTGTTTTGAAATGTTCTGGCTCGTTAGAAAAAGAAAAAAGAACAATAGAGGAGGAAATCTGAAAAGATATTGAATCAACTTCCCACTTACCTTACTCAAGTTGGAGATGGAAATCTACATCAGGAAGTTTAACCTTTATTATGCATTCCATTCCAGGTGATTTCCTGGCCTCCTATGTGATTGCCTGCTCCAATCTTTAAGTAAAATGCTTCTTCTAATGTGTCATTTTTATTTCCTAGGATTAAAAGAAGAATCTTATTGCTAATACCAAAGTGGCTTCATGAAGATATTCCCAATATGGAAAACAGTAATGTTGTAAAAATGCTACAGGTAACCAAACACCATCAAATAAAAACTAAGTGGCGGCTAAGACTAAGAGTGCAATCCAATAATTAGAATAGAACTTCTGTTCAAATAAATAAATGTGTGTACATTTTAGCATAATTGTATAAACATATGTCAAAACAGAATTATACATATTTCAAATTATACTTAAGGGAGATGAGGGGTTTAAGTTAGAGGAAGGAAAGAGAGAAGGAAGAAAGAAACAATACTATTCAAAAGAGAAAAGGGAAGAGGAAGCTTGTGGGCCAGGTGTCAGTCACCTTGTGGCCAATAGTTGATAGATGACTTCGGGGATGAAAGGAGAAAGGCAGAAAAGCTCAGTAAAATGAGGCTCAAAGACAAAAAGAGTCTTCTGTTTCACATGAGATTGGAGAAGCAGGTGAGATCAGCTTCATTCCTGACGTCCAATGGATTTGAGAAAATAAATGTGAGAGGACTGTGGAAGATAATGTCACCAGGCCTGGGCCAGGTTTCCACTTCAAAAAGAACAGGAAAGTGTGCGGGGAAGACCCAGAGACTATAGGGGACTTTGCCAGTTATGGAGGAACTGCTGCTGATTATTAGGAGGGAAAAGATTCTGCTATGTGTGTTCCTTCTACTTTTTGGCAGTCTGGTTTCACCATTAAGTGTCTCAAAACCCATCCGATGGGACAGACATATCATCCAAGCATTACAGTGCTCTGATATAAGTGCAGTGACAGAAATGAAACCAAACATGATGGGGGTATTCAAGAAGCACATGGAAAGATGAGAAGGAGTTGCTTAGGAGAAACAGAAAACACTCAAAATACAGAGGACAGCATGAGAAAAAGCACAGAATGAGAAAAGCTTGTTAGGTGTTGCTTTATTAAAAAGCTTGATAGGAATGGTTGGTATATTGCTGGAATGGTGACTAGGATCAGATCATAGAAGGTCCTGTTACAGAACTCATATCCGCATGCAGTCAATGAACAACAGTAGCTTTAGAGGGACATGAGTCAGAAGCATATTTATACTAAATTGGTCAGGTTTAAGAGGGACTACTACAGAGAAAGAGGGAATATCGGTCAAACAAGACTGTGAAAAAGAGAGGAGGGGATGGTCTAAAGGGATGAGGTGAAAAGGTTCACCTTAGGCAGAAGGGAGGATTCCTATCTCTGGATAATTGAAGGTGAGAAAGTGTGTACACACAGCTGATTTTGAAGGAGATAATATTGCCTACTAATAGTGCAGGGGTGATCTAGAACAACTGAACTCACATATGTGATGAAGTACATAGTTAACAAATAACTGAAGGACAAGCATATATTCATCAAACTATAGATAATAAATACTGTAATCCTGTTTTTCTTTCCACTAGGTAGTTCTTATTCCTTCACTAATTATTATCCAAGGGAACTGGGGATTTTCTGTGGCTCAGAGAACTGTCCCTGAACTCGTTGTGGTCAGATCCTCTTCTTCCATTATTATCTTCACTCTGGAACGGTCCCTTTTGCTCTTCCATGTCCTTCATTACACTTTGACTCCCACCCACATCACTCAGTTGCCAGCCGGAAGAAAAAACCTCCTTCTACAGAACATAGCCACCTTGTATTCTTTGTTTCTTGTAACATGCCTAGTTTCTTTGATTTTCATCTGACCTTCAAAAACATGTCTGCCCTTCCCAACCCAAACCTGGCATGCTCCCTAGGAGGCTGAATCTGAAGAAAATCTGAATGACACTTCATGCTGCTTTATTCAAAGTCTTTTTTTCTTTTTCTTTTTTTTTTCTTTTTTTTTTTTTTTTTGCCAAACTTTCTTCCTATTCTGGGCTACTGGAATTAGAAACAAAACTTCAGATGAAGTTTTGTTTTCTGCCCAAAGATTAAGGGGTAGTGTTCTAGTGGACTGCTATAACAGAACACCATAGACTGGATGGCTTAAACAACAAACATTATTTCTCACAGTCAAGATTAAGGCACTGGCAGGCTGAGTTCCTGGTGAGAGCTCTCCTGAAGAGGGCCACCATCCTGCAGTATCCTCACATGGCAGAAGGAGAGATAACAATCCCATGTCTTCTTATAAGGGCACTAATTCTATTCATGAGAATTCCACACTCATGACCTAATTACCCAACAAAGGCCCCACCACTTAATATCATCACACTAGGGATTAGAGCTTTAACATATAAATTCTGGAGGAACACAAACATTCAGTCCATAGCAGGTGGCTATAATTTTATCACAGCAGTTGTTGGGAGTTTTTTGCCTTAGGAAGCCAGCCATCAGCTCTGAGGCCTCAAGTCATTTTCTTACCCAGAAAAGTCATCAGGCTTTTATACAAATAAAACCCCTCTTCACTGACCCTCCTGTTCATGTCTGAGTTGTGAATAGCTGCATATACCTTTAGAACTTCAGCACAAAGCATTTATTATTACATTATTTGAAAATAGAAGCAAAACAGGATTCTCGCACTTTCCTTTCTTTTATTTAAGCAATGAGGTATTTTCTTGTAGTAATGCTCCATGATATTCAGAAATATTCCAATATATTAAACTTCCAAATATTAAAAGGTACAGAAATAATATGCAAGTTAATATGCAAGATATATTTTTCTCTTTAAAATTTTTAAACCAAGACATGTGCTTTAAACAAGGATTATCTTTATTATTCCTTTCTTTAGTCTCCTTGTGGGAGAATTTAATAAAGACTTGGAATTGAGGAGGATAACAAACGGAGGAAACTGTATGGGAGGACAAACAGTATCAGAAGAGGGAGGGGAAAGGAAAGCTGAGGGAAAGCAGAATTCCAGTTCTTACTTAATTATCCAGTTAGCTCCTTTAAATGCCTTTTGCAAAATAAAAATAAAATCTTTCTTTCTAGGAAAAAAGTGAATTTATGAATAATAATTCCAGCGAGCAGGTCCTATATGTTGATCCGGTGGTTACAGAGATAGAAATCTTTCTCCCAGAAGAAAACAAGCCCATCGACTACAAGGCAGAAAAGAAAACAGAATCCCTGGAGGCCAGAGACTGCCTGCAGAAGTCACTACTCACCAACACTACAGCTGTGTATATTCCTGGTCTCAGCACTGGGTATAAACCCCAGATTTCAAATTTTCTCACTGGGGGAAACCATCTCAGCAAAAATGATGACGTATCTTCATCAACTCTCAAACCAATGGCTGATTCCTTAGACCTGGGGGAAAATGCCAGATTTAAAAAATACCCTAATTTTGCTTTTTCTGTCTCAAGTATGAATTCGCTAAGCAACACACTATTTTTTGAAGAATTAAGCCTCATTTTAAATCAAGGAGAATGCAGCCCTCTGGACATGCAAAACTCAGTTGAGGGAGAAACGACCATGCTTTTGGAAAATGCTTCACCCAATGAAACTATTCCAGAACAGACCCTGTTGCCCGATGAATTTGTTTCCTGTTTGGGGGTTATGAATGAGGAGTTGCCATCTATTAATTCTTATTTTCCACAAAATATTTTGGAAAACCACTTCAATACGATTTCACTCTTGGAAAAGTAGAGCTGCATAGTCAAAGTGATTATGGGAAAGCTGCCTTGCAATCTGAAGCTGGATCATCTCCTCTTCAACCTAAGTTTAATTCCGACCTATTTTTTTTTAAAGTTAGAGAGTTAAGTCCCAAAGATGGAACATACTGCATAGTCACAAAGGAAGCACCAATATTAGGTACACCTTCTGTATTTTTTTTAGAAGTACCAACAATTATATTCTTTTTATTTCCCTTCATTGCAAGGCATAGAACAGATCTCTCTGTTGTACAAAGGATAAATACTACAAGATATGTGGTGGTGAAATAAATGTTGGAAATAGTTCTTAAAAATTGAGACATTAGTGTTTGTTTGCAAGAGGAGAAGCAAATTTAATTTTCATTTTATGGCTTAAAATTCTCTTGAGTGATAAAAATATAGTCCCAACAACAAAATAAGAATAGAATCAGAGGAGCATTAATTAGCATGTCTGTTGTATTATTTTTTTCTACTACTTTCTATGCAGGTATTAGGGATTTGATGTTCCTTTATTTTGATTTTGGACTAAGAGAGTGATAAAACAATGATGCGAGGACATCATGAAACTGCTGTCTTCATTCAGGTTAAGTGTGATGGCATTGTTGTCTTGTGGTGTAGCTGGTGAATTAATTACACTATGGCAGAACTGAAGTAGTAGATGCATTATCAGCAAGGTGTAATTATTCCTTTTGTAATCAACTGTGTATTAGATATATGTCAGGCAATTATTGTTAAAACCCATATTTGTCCAAATCTGGGATGGCAACACTTGACATGCCTACCATTGCCCCATATCCCATGTCTCCTGCAGACATCACTAACTGATCACCACACACCTTTCTGCTAAGCCTTAAGGTGACCTCAGAATCCTCTCAACATGGTGCTCCTTATAGCTATACTCAATAAGGTCTAGGACTGGAGGTGAACTTTATCACCCACCCAGGTCAATACTGAAAGACAGCTGAAAAATGGTACTCAGCAAACTTCTCTACTTTTTAAAATTTTTTTTAGAGTGTGAACAGAGTGGGAGGGACAGAAAGAGAGAGACAATCCCAAGCAGACTTCACACTCAACAGAGCCCAGTATGGGGCTCTATCTCATGACCCTGAGATCATAACCTGTGCCAAAGTCAAGAGTTGGTCATTTAACAAATTGAGCCACGCTGGCATCCTGCAGACTTCTCTATTCTGATTAATTTTTATGGTCCAAGGAAAAATTTTTTTAACGATCAGAATGATTTGAAAATAAAGTAGACTATCCACTGAATTTCTCTTTTTCCTTTGAACAGTTATCAAAATAATAATTTATATTCAGATTAATTAGATTTTGTTATAATAAATTGAGCAGTTAATTTAAAAAGGACCAGTTGCCTACTGTGTGTTAAGCACATGAACAAGCTATTTTGTTTTGTTCTGGCTTTTCTTCAAAATTAAAAAAGGCGGGGGGCACCTGGGTGGCTCAGTGGGTTAAAGCCTCTGCTTTTGGCTCAGGTCATGATCCCAGGGTCCTGGGATAGAGCCCTGCATCAGGCTCTCTGCTCAGCAGGGAGCCTGCTTCCTCCTCTCTGCCTGCCTCTCTGCCTACTTGTGATCTCTGTCAAATAAATTAAAAAAAAAAAAAAAAAAACTTTAAATTAAAAAAAAAAATTTTAAAAACCCAAATGCTGTTTTATTAAGTGTCCCCATGAGGAAGATGACAATACACCCTGGTTTACACTGGTTTGTGGTCTTTTGCCCCAGTGCTATTTATGACCAGTGTACCCTTTCACTCTTAGAAGCATCCCATTTGGATGATAAATCATATGGTTGTTCTATCTATGAAGACTTTAATGCCCAGCATATAAGCAATTTGTTATGATTCACTTTTTTTTTGCATTGACAATCTTTATTTTACTTTATATCATGTACTAAAGTCATTTGCTCCAGAATGGAACATTACTATTCACAGTGTAAAAAACGTATCCCTTACTATGAATTTCTATTCTGTTTGTCCTAAAATCTGTGTATATTTGTTGTACTTTACATATTCTAAAAGGAGTATATATTATTTCACTAATGAAATGCTAATATTAAGCATGACTTGTAAACGATCATATGCCTTTCCTTTATTCTTCTTTGAAGGGAGAATATAATGAAGCAAAAAGGCAGAAAGTACACGGGATAGAAATAGCTAAAGACTGAGACAAATCTTTGATGTCTACCAACCTGATGAAGACATCTGTTTACATATGAAGAATATTTTCAAAGTATATTTCAGTATAATTGTAATCTGCCACACATCAAAAAAGCTACTGTCAAGCTTAAGAGACTGCAGCATTATTTGATCTACATAAACTTCCATTGCAGAGAATGCCTCCTTTAGAACTTCTTGTCCTCTGGAGTGAGAAGGAGGCTCCTTTCTCTTCCTATGGTGTCTTTTCCATACCCACATCACTGCTCAGCACAGAGAAGATACTTCTAGTTCCATCTTTGCCATTAACCCTTGTAGGTCCAATGGACTAAAAACTGAAGCTGTACCTATAATAGAGGCAATGTGCCTGCCATTGCTCCAACTAAGGGAAAGTTTCAACTGTTTCACCACAATGCAAGCTTGCCAGTAAGAAAGGGTTTTCTTTCCATGATTCTTTTATTCAACTATCCACTGAAGTACTGGATGTGCAAAGCACTTTGAGCAATAGAGACGTGAACAAAACCAGCCAAGTCCCTGCAGCCTTGGGGCTTATATTCTAGGGCCAAGAAACAGACAATATATGCCTTTCAAGGAGCTTACATTTTTGTGGGGAAGGGGCTAAAGCTAGGGCTGGGGAGAGGCAGAAAAAAATAAAGAAGAAAAATTCCATATAATAATAAATGTTGTGTAGAGAGGTAAAATGAGGTAATATAGTGGAGAGTGATTTGGTGGCCACTTTTTGCTGGGCAGTCAGGGAAGCTCTCTTCCAGGAAGGGACACTGATGTTGCCATCTGAATCACAGGTAGGAGCCAGTGGGTGAGAATCAGTTTGCCAATTCAAATTCCTTCTATAGAAAAGTTATCCAGTGACTAATATCTCTACTTCTTTGTCTCCTGTACAAGTTGGCCCTAATCCCAACCCCTTGCCACCTACCCATTCTCAGCCAGCATCTTCTGTAGACTGGGGGACAAGCATGTATATCTATTTATCTTTCCATCTGGCTTATTATTAACTTTCTCTCTCTGAGTCTCATAGTGTTTGTAAGGAGCAGGAGGAAGAAAGAAAGAGGCAGAAAAAGTCCCTCAAGATACCATTGAAAGGGTAGAAGGAGAGAGAAATACAAAGAAAGAAAAGCAGATTAATCCTCAGTAATGCTGAAGCAAAATGGAATCCCAATTCCAGGCAATACTAAAAACTGATTAAGGGACATCCAATTTCCTCCTGTTCTAGTATCTTCTTCACACTCTTCCGCTCTTTTCTTATATAGAAGCAATAGGGGAAGCCACAAGTGAAGTATTGTTTAGGGTTGTTTTCTTGGTTTATGTGTGTGTTTTATTATTTTTTAAATTAGGAATGTGTTTTTAACCAGAGTTAGATATACAACTGATGATATAAAAAGGCTTATGAGTGTTAGCATGTGGTTCTCATCTAATGTTTGCCCTCCTGGTTCAATCGCAAGGTTTTCCCACCTTTTTTTCTTTTCTTATATATTTTCAGTCATTCTCTCTTTGACATAGAGGCAGCACATGACCATGGCATAGACAGAGGTTTTCAAAAATAAATTTTAGCAACTGATACCCTTTCTCCAAATGAAATTTGTTGCAGAAGCCCAAAATGTAAAATAGGTGAAAGCAAATCTGCTGAAACAGATGTTGAATGTCATGCCTGTCCCCAACAACCCTCTTCTGCATCAGCCTATGCATACAGGATGAAAATCCCAGGCTGGGGATTCTCTCTTCCAAATATGTGACCTGGGTTCTGGTCCTCCTTGAAAACCCTCTATCTTGGGATTGTACCAAATCTTCCATCTCCAGCCAGAAGACCACCAGCCCAGGTGAAGGGCACCCAAAATGCCCTCAAACCTCCTTACTTCTTGAGCAGCTGCATAAAAAGGAGCTCTCTCTCAGAGACTGCTCAAAGAGGCAGTTCTATATGCAATAATTAACTTGTTTCTTTCTAATTACTTTATCATAAATGTTTGGGTTTTGTTCAAGATTATGCTCTTTTTGTGATCCCTGAGAATAAAATATTATGTGTTGAACATAATTAGATATTATAAACCCAAAGATTGGCAAATTGTGTTGTGGTTTATCTCTTTACTAAGTAATTATACCAATTATAGGAGGTGATGTTTTAATGGGAAATGTTATCCACTTGGCAGACACTACTGATTTAAAATAAAAGAAGTAATTAAAAACAATTTATGAATTTCTCTTGGGTAAAAGCATGAAACCAATATAAAATAATTGGATTCTGATTCATAGAGTGGATTGTGTAACATGTTCTTGGATGCTACAGTTAAGGCAATATTACAAGGAACTCCAACAAAGGATTGATAGAATGTTATTATGTCTCTTTCCCACTGCTAAAATTACACCATTAAATTCCAATTAACGTTTCATGTTAAAACTCCTTAGCTATCTTGCTAATTTCACTTTTCAACTTAATTTAGGATAAACACTATGAATCTTTTATATCTAGTATTTCCATCAGTTTTCTGAAGATGCATTTTCTTTATGCTTATATTCAGGAAAACAACTTATTCTCTAATTCTCATAATTAGCATTTAGCAACAAATTAGGAACTTATTCTTAAATGGTCTATTTTTGTTTGGGGTGGTAAGAGGATTCTGGCCTAACTTTATGAAAAGAAAAAAACACACTATACTATACTGGTATAAAAGAAACATAGTTCTTTCCTGAGATTATTGGTTCAAAAATTCAAGCAAAGCAAAATGCTGTTTCTAACCATAAAGGCATACCTAAAATTAGTGACTCTGTCAGAGCACAGGAAGGAAATCATAGTCAAACACTGGAGCCCAAGTGTGAGATACGGAAGTCAATAAACCTGACTGTTTTCTTTCTGTTCATATCCTGCTTGAGAATATTATTAGAAGTGAGAAAGAATACAACAGTGACATTTTTAAAGTTAATTTTTAAGCTACACAGTAATTCATAAAAAGACACTTTAAAAAAATCTAAGTAATACCAGTGTAAATGGAGTGAAATGGGACAGTACCTCTTCACACCTCTGCTTCCTGTGCTCCACCCCCATCATCTAGTGACTCTCAATACGTTAATGTTTTTCTTTCCCATTTTTTTTTTAACCCAAATGGTTAACATATGGTACTGCTCTGTGACTTGCTATTTCCACCTAGCAATATATGTTGGAAATCTTCACATGTTGTTATATATAGCTTTATCTTATTCTTTTCAGCAGTTGAATTGTATTCCATAGAAAAAACATGTTTTAATATATTTTCCTATTCTGTTTACGGACATTTAGATTGTTTACAATTTTTCACTAATAAACCCATTCCTGTAATAATTCCTTTGGTGTATAGATCCTTACACACACATGAGAATTGCCTACATGGATGCAGCAAGAATGGGAATATGAGGTATATGAGAGGAGAGCGAGGCAGAGAATGTCAGTGGGCAGTATACATGTGGAATAAAGAGGAGGAGAGGAAAGAGCACTGGAGAACCTGCAAAGCATGTACTATTAGGTAGTGCAGGACCAGACCTGTCCACCTAGTGAGCAACACTGACCGACCTCCAATTCCCACCCTACTCTTGTTTTTGTTTTAGTGTTCAGGACTTCCTAGTAAACAAGCAAAGTCTGATATTGATAGATGATGTGATACTTATTCCAAACCTCTTCTTGTCCTGATTTAAATGAAGTTCGGCCCTCGTTTTACTTTGGTATTCCATGTAGAAGATTTATTTTGTCTTGGTTGCTGAAACTGAAAATCACTTGTATTTCATTAAATGAAGAGATTAGGATTTTAAGAAGCTGCCAGCTGCGATTTATTTGCAGGTTCATTTTTCCTTTTTTAGTATTCATTGCACATTCCCTTCAATGTGCTACTTTGGAGATTGCATTTGATTGACGAGAGGCAGCCTATGCAAAGCCCTGTGAGGGAAGGATGGGAGGGAGCTGGTGAAAGCCCAGAGCAATGCAGAAAAGCAATTGTAATGCAAAAAAAAAAAAAAAAAAAAAAAACAAAAAACCCAACCCAGACATGCTTTGGAAACACAATACATGATAGATTCAACCTATCTTCATCGCTTCAATGAAATGTTCATTTTTAAAAGCCCTCTTTAAAATTCTTGTTTTTTTAATTTCCATTTTGTTTCTTTTGTTTTACTAAGCAATGGAAATCTTCACTTAAGCAAAAAATTTGCAGAAAAGCATGTAGAACTACAAATATACCTGCTGTTGCAAATATGTGAACTAAATTTTCTTCCTTCATTTTCCCTTCAAGAACTTGGATTAAGGTCAAACAATCAGGGTTTTTGATTTTCAGATCTACCCCATGCCAACTCTGTGACCTTGGGCAATCACTAGAGTTTCAGGTGTTCTCTCCTTGTCCTATTTTCTGGGACAGAGATACAGACCTTTGTGTACCTTGCCAAAAAAAAAAAAAAAAAAAAAAAAAAGCAGAGAGCTGACCCTCTGTTTCCTGCAGTACTTTCTTCACTTCACTCCCAGAATACCACAAGCCCATGACCTCTTTCTCTGACCACCCATTCTCAGTCTCATTTCCTGCTTTCCCCTAGTATCTCTATCATATAAACACTGGAGACCCCACAGCACAGGCCTTACTTTCTCCTTTGGTGATCTCAACAATTCCTGTGGCATTAAGCACTATCTACACATCATGAAAACAGATCAGTCCAGCCTCTATTCTGAACTCCAGACTCATTCAACTGTCTATCTGACATATCAATGTGCACATCCTCATGGCCTGTAATACCCATATGAGATGACCTCCCAAGCCTTGTGTTTTCACAGACATCCCCATCTTAGTAAAGAGTATTGCCATTTTTCCAATGCTCACAAATCTAGTTATTACCCTTGGCTTTTTTTTTATTGCTGTTGTTCTCACTCTTCATGTCTACTCTATCAGGAAATCCTACCCACTCTACCTTCAAAATATACCCAGAAATTAAATCACTTCTTCTTACTACCTCAACTTGATCACCCTAGTTTAATCACTATTATCCCTTGCCTGGGTTATTATAAAAATCTCCTAAGGTCCATCTTCACTAACAAAACTGTATATACCTAGATGATCCTGCTGAAACAACACTTGTCTGTTTAAAATCTGCCAACAGCTTCCTATCCCACAAACAACAGCAGTCTAAGTCACAGTGGTGACCTATGAGGTCCTACATAGTTTACCTCTATCTGTCCCCCTGGCCACCTAGTAAAGACCTCAGAGTCTTTGCTCTTGCTATTCCTTCTTCCTGGAATGCTCCTCCTCAAGACCATTGCATTGCTCATGAACACACTGCCTTTTAGCCCTTCCCTGGTCACTTTATCTATAATTGCAAGCCCCAGCCCATATTTCCTACTCTCCTTTGCTTTTCCTTCTTCAAAGCACTCACTACCACCTAAAATCAAGTACGCTACACTTTTTAGACATTAATGTGTTCATTGTCACCTAATCTAATATAAGATCCAGGACGCCAGGAATTTTGCCTTTTTCTCCCCATAAATCTTTAATGCTTAGAACGGTGCCTGCCACATAGTGGGGTGCTCAACGAATGTTTGTTTAAAAAATGAATAAATAAACAATGGTCTAATCTATTAATTCCATCTGCTTCACATGAGAAGGAAATCAATACACAAAGGTGTCCAAGAACTTTCAGACCTCAGTGTGTTTTCTGAGGCTCTTCCAGAACTCTATTAGTTTATCACCATCATTGTTGCTTCTCTCTAAACTGACACTGTGTTAATTGATGAGAAAGCGGTAATATGTAAACATAAACATTTTTCTTTTTGACTGTGCAGTTTTCTTTTATTCCTTAGATCATTTCAACATGACAGCTTTTTTAACCACTTTTTACTTTTGACCAAAACTGTTATTTCAAAGAGTTGCATATGGCAGAGTTAACAACACCTCAGTGTGCAAACAATGTCTTTCATTTCTTCAGGAGGAAAGGTTTCTGGCCACCAGACTAATTAGACAGCTCTCTGGCTGATAATAAGGGCCAGATGAATTGCATGATGTATTAAAGAAAACCAGCAAACAGGGGTTTCCCCTTATAGAAGATGAGCTAAATAGCTAAATAGCTTACTCATAAAAAACAACAGCTGAATTCTAAAAGACTGGGCAATCTCATAGTGACTTAAAGAAATGTCAGTAAATTCTACCTAAAATAGCCAAGTAGAGATAGTGCATAAAATATACTTATTCATTTATTTGTTGTTTCAAATGCCATCTAATTGTGTTTCAATCTAGAAAATCTTCATTTTCTAAATGAAGCTGGGGTTGTCTTGGTCATCTGTGGAGGAGGCAATTCCTCCTCCTGACTCCTAGTCCAGATCTCTTTTACAACCTACAGCAAATCAGCTGTTTTGAAATGGGCAAGTGGTTTTCATTTACCTAAACATTAGAATCACCTAAGAACTTAAATAACAACAAACTACCAAAGCCTGCTCACCATGACAGCCTCATTGATACTTTTTCATCAGGGGTATTTTATGCACTGCCAAGGTTGAGAACCATCCACTTAATTGTTCCTCTTTGTGAAAAGAAACTTTTTGCCTTTGTTCATTATTATTTGGCAGTAATTCTTCCGTCACCTCTTCTCAGAGACAACATATGTAGATAAACGGAGGCCCCTCCACCTCATTATATCCCATCTACAAACTTGCATTCACCCATCTTCTCTCCTTAGCTCTGTAAAACAAAAAAGATACATGTTTTCCCTGCTGGGCTAATGTCTCCATCTAGCACTGGACTATTTCCCTCACCTTGTGCCTTCTTAGAAACTGGCTATAGTTATCAATTTACATATCATACTCATCTTTTTCCCATTTACCAGTATCTGTCTCATAGTAAATGTGGTAGAGACTTCAAATTATCTATTCAACATCCATTCTCACTTTCTTAATTACTAACAGAACTCCTCCAGTAATGAAGCAACAATGCACCCCCCGCAAAGACACATTTTGCAGCCTCCTTTGCCACTAGGTGTGGCCATGTGACTGAGCTCCAGTCAATGAAAGATACACAGAAGCTGTTAGAAGGATTTCTGGAAGTTGTTTTTTTTTTTTAAAGGAGGCAGAAAAGTGGATAAATATTTTCCCCTCCATGTCCCCCCTTCCTCCTTCCTGACTGGAAATTGGGCATAGTAGCTAGAGTTCCAGCAGCCATCTGGGACCATTAGGTGACCTGGAGATAGAAGCCATGCACTGGGGATAGTGGAGCAGAAAGATGAAAAAAGGCCATGTCCCAGATGATTTTGAGGAGCTGTCCTGGATCACTTATCTCTTACTTTCATAAGACAGTAATATTTTTATTTGTTTGTCTGTTTGTTTAAAGATTTATTAAGTATCTCTACACTGAACATGGGGCTCAAACTCATGACCCTGAGGTCAAAAGTTACATGGTCCTCCAACTGAGGCAGCCAGGCTCCCCAAGAATAATGCTTTGAAATGACCATTATTGTTGGTTCTGCTATCCGTATCTTAATTAATCATAATGGATGCAATAAGCTATCAGAAATTAATTTTTCACAGAATGGCTGGAGCACACCCCTATGGTAGTCTTATATTGTCTCCCCAGGTCCCCTTTTCTAGAAACTACCCCTCTCTTTCTCCACTGTTCCTTTGGTGTCACCCTGGTCAGCTGGCACCAATTGACTGATGTGAAGTATCCTCACCCAGTGTGGATGAGTCCTGCCCCAGGACTTGCCTCTAATCATAACAATTGGGCTGGAGGTGCACACCCGACCTAAGCTGGACTAAGCAAAGGCTCTCCTCAGCAATTTTGGAAAAAACAGGGACTCTCTCCAGTGACAAAATTTTAGATGTAAAGTTTAGAAGCTATTGTCAATCATGCTCTTCTCTGTGTGGCCAGAATAAAAGGAGGATGGTCTGTAGACATAAAACAAAAACAATAAACTGATGAATAGAAAAGGGCAAAAAGTAAGGACAGAATGGGAATCCTAAATGCACCTGAATCCCTCCTTATAATTGTTAATAAGGTTCAATCACCTTTGTGACTTATAGCGTGTAAGAAACTTTTATCATACATTCTTTCTGCTTAAGCTTCTTAGAGTTGTATTTCTGTTATTTATGATTGAGAGTCATATTACAATCCCCTAGAATTAAGAAGAAAAGGCTTTGTATTTTGCTCCTAGAATCTATATCACTTTCTTTTAATTACGATTAACAATGATGGCATTTGTTTTCTCTTGTACACTAATTTACCTGATATTGAATAGGGACTATTGCACAAAGATGTATTTGGTGTTGCTTTCAGTAAATGTTACTGGGTTAAATCTCAAGACATCCTGACTTCTCCCTACATCAATTTCTTTGCAATTACAGACAGAGGAATTGGCAATAAATGCAATTCAGCTGAAAGAAAACACCATAAATTTTAAAAGCCTGTGAAGGACCACTGGATTGCCTTATCAACTCATTATGCATCCTATCTGGAAGACTAAAATAGAAACCAAGTTCTAATGTTTTTGTTTTTGTAAATGAATATAATTGTTATCTTTCCATCTCAATAATTATGTCTTGATAAAGATATTGCACGTTATCTGAGAAGAGGAAAATCCCTTTAAATTACACGACTGAGTTTCAGAATGTAAGTAAAGCATGGCTAACCAAAATGTTCAAGTGAAGTGATGCAAATTTCCTTTTCTATGCCTACATAAACAAAAATCTTTTGCACGGAACCAAGTTTTATGTGGTATAACATGTAAAAGAGAAAGCACTTTTTCTGTGTTTGCACAGGAACCAGGTAACTTTGTCATAAACTGGGGAAGAAATGACCTAAGTGTCACCTCTCACATCTCCTGGTGTGAATAGACTTAAGAGCTACTAGTTGCCATAAAATTAAATCTCAGTGCACAAATTGAAAAAAAAAAATCTGCCATAAATGA